GCCCCCGCCCCCCGCCCCCCCGCCCGCCCCGGGGCTGTGCCGAGCCCAGCGGGGCCACCAGGCGCTCGGCTCCTGCCCCGGCAGGCAGGCGGGGCTATTGCGGAGAAGGCCGGAGACAACAGCGAGGGGGAAGGAGCAGCCGGGTAAGGCCGGCCGGATCCCCGGGACATGCAGGGCAGAGGGGCCGCGGCAGGAAGCAGGGAGACGCGGGCTGGTGACTTCCCAGTGAACCTGCAGAGGCAGCTGTGCTGGGCTCCCAGCGAGACACCGGCTGGTGGCTTTCCTTCCAGCGAAGGTGCAGATGCAGGTGCAAATATAGATGCAGGTGTAGATGTGCTGGACTCCCAGAGACACTGGATGGAGACTTTCCAGTGAACCTGCAGATACAGATGCAGATGCAGAGGCAGATGTAGATGTGCTGGACTCCCAGCGAGACACTGGTTGATGACTTTCCCTCCAGCGAAGGTGCAGATGCGCTGGACTCCCTCGGTGCCGCCTGCGTTGCAATGCAGCTGCTGCTGCCATCGGTTGGTGTTCAGCTCTGGGTGGAGCGGGAAACCGAGGGGGCACACGGGCACCCCTGGATCCACCCCGTGCCCACCGCGGATCGGCCCGGCGTCTCCCCACGGGCGGCTCAGGGCAGGGGCCGCCGTCTCGCAGGCCCAAGGGACCGTGCCCAGCCCTCCAGCGCCGCCAGACGAAGCCGGGCGCCACCGAGAGGGGAACGTAACGAGTAGGGCGGGGGTGTCACACCGTCAGGGATGCGGGGGGCGTCACTCCCAGGGGTCAGGGTCAAGGGGGTGTCACTCCCAGGGGTCAAGGGGGTGTCACTCCCAGGGGTCAAGGGGGTGTCACTCCCAGGGGTCAAGGGGGTGTCACTCCCAGGGGTCAAGGGGGTGTCACTCCCAGGGGTCAAGGTGGTGTCACCTCGGGGGTCAAGGTGGTGTCACTCCCAGGGGTCAAGGTGGTGTCACCTCGGGGGTCAAGGGGGTGTCACTCCCAGGGGTCAAGGGGGTGTCACTCCCAGGGGTCAAGGTGGTGTCACCTCGGGGGTCAAGGTGGTGTCACTCCCAGGGGTCAAGGTGGTGTCACCTCGGGGGTCAAGGGGGTGTCACTCCCAGGGGTCAAGGGGGTGTCACTCCCAGGGGTCAAGGTGGTGTCACCTCGGGGGTCAAGGTGGTGTCACTCCCAGGGGTCAAGGTGGTGTCACCTCGGGGGTCAAGGGGGTGTCACTCCCAGGGGTCAAGGGGGTGTCACTCCCAGGGGTCAAGGTGGTGTCACCTCGGGGGTCAAGGTGGTGTCACTCCCAGGGGTCAAGGTGGTGTCACCTCGGGGGTCAAGGGGGTGTCACTCCCAGGGGTCAAGGGGGTGTCACTCCCAGGGGTCAAGGTGGTGTCACCTCGGGGGTCAAGGTGGTGTCACTCCCAGGGGTCAAGGTGGTGTCACCTCGGGGGTCAAGGGGGTGTCACTCCCAGGGGTCAAGGGGGTGTCACTCCCAGGGGTCAAGGTGGTGTCACCTCGGGGGTCAAGGTGGTGTCACTCCCAGGGGTCAAGGTGGTGTCACCTCGGGGGTCAAGGGGGTGTCACTCCCAGGGGTCAAGGGGGTGTCACTCCCAGGGGTCAAGGTGGTGTCACCTCGGGGGTCAAGGTGGTGTCACTCCCAGGGGTCAAGGTGGTGTCACCTCGGGGGTCAAGGGGGTGTCACTCCCAGGGGTCAAGGGGGTGTCACTCCCAGGGGTCAAGGGGGTCAAGGGGGTGTCACTCCCAGGGGTCAAGGAGCGTCTCCCCGCCCCAGCACGGTGTGCCCCGGCGGGCACGCGCACGCGGTCGCTTCAGCAAAGCTCAGCACTTCGCCGCCGCGGCAACGCAAGCTCTCGCCGGCTAAACGGAAGCCGGACAACAAAACCACTTCCCTTAAAAAGGGACCGGTGAAAACGCTTGCATTTCGTTAGGGAGAGGAAACGGGCAGCTCGCTGCCGACTCGCTGCGGAAGGTGCCCGGCGCTTGTATTTGCATTTGCATTGCACACCCAGGAGGGATCCATCCACAGCTGCTGGTGGCAGCTGCCTGCGGCGCGCGCTGCAAGGCGCCGTTAGGGGAAGGGGAAGTGAGGGGGCGCGGGGCTTTCCCAGCTCGCGGGGGAAAGATGAACTGGTGGCAGGTTGCTGAGCTCGCGAGCCGGGACCGGGGCTCGTGCGTGGGGAAGGGGAAGGGGAAGAGACCTGCCTGGGGCCAGCCAGCGTGCCCAGGGCGCGGGGCAAACCCTGGCACTGTCGCAGCCGGGGCCGAGGCGAGCTCAGAGGCAGACGTCTGCGCGTGTTCGGCTCGCGCTGTGAGGCGGCAGCAGGAAGGCGAGTGATTTCGGAGGCCGGGGCTCTGCCCGCGTTGCATAACCAGCCGCTGCCCTCCCTTTAGTTACAGACAAGTTCACCGAGAGCATGTACGTCCTGGCCAACGAGCCGTCGGTCGCGCTCTACCGGCTGCAGGAGCACGTGAGGCGGTCGCTGCCTGAGCTGGCCCAGCACAAGGTGAGTCGCGCTCGGAGCTGGGAGCAGGAAGTAGCAGCCCGCAGCTGTGTGCTCGCCCTGCCCGGCTGCACACGGACAGCACGTGCTTCGGTGCCAGCCCTGCCGCCTCCCCTGCCCGTCAGAGCTCAGTAGGAGCACCGCTACAGGAGTAGCTCGCTGCCTCGGGCCTGTGCGAATGCCCTGTCAGGCCCCATTTCTTACCTTTACTTCATCGCCTGGACATCCGAAAGAACCGGAGTTGTGGCACTTTATTATTCAATTATTTATTGGCTTCTCCCGGGCACGCTCGAGCACGTGTCCGTGCGGGGAGGGCTGCAGAGGTTCCCGTGCTACACACGCAGGCCTGGCCGGGCTATGCTGCTGGGAGTGGGGACACGCTTGTAGCGTTGTTCCTGAGCTGTTGCTCACTTTGATTTAATCCATGTAGCCCCAGTTGCAGGGAACGTGCCCTGAGCAACAGGGAATGGAGGAAACCATCTGGCCAGCCCGGCAGAAGGAAGAGGTCGGCTGCCATTGCTGAGGGGGCATAGGCCCGCCACCCGGGAGGACGGCAGCATGAGAGCCAGGCGCAGGGTGGTGTTAGACTGTGGGTGCATCCAGGCGGGGATGCCTCTTGGGTCCCTGGTTTTCCCCCCCTTCCCTGCAGAGCTGGGCTGCCTCTCTAGACTCAGCTTGGGGCCATGTTCCTGGCTGCTGCTGTCTCAAGGCCTTGGACGAGAGTGGCTGGTGTTTCTTACCTCCTCTCGACCTGGCAGCCAGGGGGGTCAGGCAGCCAAAGCCCCCACCACTGGTCCCTCTCCATGCTAAAGTTGCAGATGTAGGTGTTGGCACGCAGCGTGGACACGTCTGAGCTCAGCCTTGTCTGTCCTGGTGGCCTGACACTGGGGTCACCGCAGACGAGTGACGTGAGGTCCCGAGAGGATCCGGGACAACACGTAGCCACAGGTGCGTCCCACCCTCCTCAGCTGCAGCATACGTCTGCGGTAGTCCTCGGCCTGGACTGCACTTGGCTGGTGTCGGCAGCTCCAGGATAGTGAACCTGGGTCCCAGTCTGTTCCCAGCGATCCCATGGGGTGGATGGTGGTTTTCCCCACCTGGCTGGACGCTGATGTGTGTCTTCATAATGCCCCTGGGCTTCCAGGGTGCTGCCAGTAAACCAGGAGTACCTGAGAGCAGAGCAGGCACCGCAGGCTGAGCCTGTGCTGCATCTGGTCTCTAGAATAGTTCCCAGGTTTCCTCCCCGCTGTCAGTGGTGGAGCGAAGAAGCGGGGAGATGGAGAAAAGAGAAGGATTCATTGCATCAGGGCAGCGACGGCTACACAGACACCTACTGTGACCTGTCGCTGCACCACCTCAGCTTGGCTCGACCCCTGTCCCTGGGGTTCAACAGGGAACAGTTTCTAATAAGCCACACAGTGTCGTGTCTGCCGTGGTCTCAGGTGCCCCAGCTGGCTGGGATCCATTCCCTGCGAGTCGGGTATAAGCTGTGTTTAAACTCTTCCCTGCTGACCAACGGGTTCCAGGTGCCGAGCGTTCCCGCCGGCTCCCCCTAACAAGGTCTCTGCTGGCAGACTGGCTCGTCTGCTCTCTCTCATGCTCACTTGATTACTCCGTTCACAAGTGACTGTTTGAAATGAAGAAGGGCTCAGCCATCATCACTGCCGGCACCTTTAACAAGATCTGGACGGGTTCTGTCAGCTGCTCTGCCAGGGCCCGTCGGCTCCATGCAGGCCTCGCGGGTTTGCGCAGGCTGAGGGTGTCAGGCCGGTTGCGCTCCAGGCACCCGCTGTCAGGGCTGATTTAGCTCAAACCTGCCTCTGCCTCGTGACTTTGCTTCTTGTTACTTCTAAGAAGACTTAAAGCAAAGGGAGGTTTTGCAAGTGCCGCGCTGTGGTGGGAAGGACACTCGATGTCAAGAAATCAGCATCCCGGTCTAGTGAGGCATGTTCGTAGCAACAGCACTGGGGCTCGGGGGGATGGATCAAAGGAAGCTTTGCTGCAGTGGTGGCCCGAGGTCGTTGGGCCACGACAGGGCAACCTTTCATGTCCTCTTGAGAGTCGACTGCCTAGTGGCTCAAGCTTTGCTGTGGCACTGGCTCCGGTTAGGGACCCGCAGCAGACCCAGGAATGGTCTCCCAAGGAAAGTGTTGGAAGCCCCATTACTCAGACAATTTAAAACTCAAGTGGCCACGATGCAATGAAACGTGCTGCAAGGGAAAATGTGGTGCAGGCTGGGGGCAGATTAGGGGGAGGTAATCCGCTTTCCCTCCCTGTCTGTGGAGATGTGGGCTTAGACATTCCCAGGGGCTTTAAAGATAGGGATAAAGCGGGGTGGGGAAGGCTGGTGCAGGGAGAAGGTGACCTCTGTGCCAGCACAACAAGCAACTTCTCTGATTGATTAAAATCATCTTAATACCTTCCTGCATCTCCAACTCTCCAGGCAGACTTAACACTTAACTCCTCGCTGATAAGATACAGGCGACGCGGGGCCGGGTGCTCCCCGGTGCCGGCACTGGGCTGCTAAGCCCTGCTCCTGCCTTTCCCCTGATCTCACAGGAGCCCAGGACTCCTCATTAATTTGCTGCTGTGCTCCCGTAATTCATTGTTAGTGCTCGGCTATATCATTAGCTGGCTTTAGTGATTAACTGCATCCGAGGAGCTGTCCTGGGAGTTCTGAGAAAGGGCATTGAGAGGAGATTAAGAAGTCCGGAGCTCGGGGGGGGGCTCCTGTTCCTAATGAAGGGCATGAAAGCCCCAGGAAGCATCGAGAGTGCTGGAAACAGGCATCACAACCTGGCCCCAGACACAAGCAATGTGTGAAACAAGCAGAGACCAAAGGCAGGCTGCTCAGGGAGTGATGTGGCTTGGCCACCCCTCTGCTGGACCTGCTCTCCCATCCTCTCCCCCAGCCCCATTTCACCCTGACCTCCCACCTCAGTCCTCCCTGCTGAGCAGAGGGTCAGTACTGAGCCCCTGGGTCAGGGCAGGGGAAGGCCGCTTGCTTCTGAGCAAGGCACACAAATGACTCGTGGCCACGGCTGCCCTGAACTTGGGTTGAGCACATCTCCCCATTGGACCGGCAGCGCTGTCCCGAGGTGTCACATACGTGTGCACAGAGGACCTGGGAATGGGCCGCGTGGGTCACAGGGAAGGCATTTGCCTGGCCTGCAGGCATCAGCCCTGTTGCTTTTTGTGACACAAGGTTCATTCTGTTTTCTCTGTGATTGCCTTGCAGTCAGACATGCAGAGCTGGGAGGAGCAGAGCCAAGGGGCCATCTACACCGTGGAATACGCCTGCAGGTACCTGACAGGGCTGGCAAGACTTTGGAGACTGCGCTTCCCTGGGCAATGGCCCCGCCCTGCGTAAGCAGGAGGAGCTGGTCAAGGCTGAGGCCGAGTCTCCAGCTCACCCTCCCCTCTCCTACTCCCCAACTCAGGGTGCTGGTGTTTTCGCAGCTCCAGCACATGGGTGCTCGAACCCCGCTGACAGACCATGGCTCAGCTCTGTGCTGAGGGTACCCTCCCAGCTGCTAGTGACAGGAGTCCTTGTGGGTTGCTCCTTAATTGATGAGTAACCTGTTGGGGAGGGGGTGTAAAACCCTCTAAGGGAACCAAGCATGTCTCTGTTGAGCCAAGAGCTCCAAAAAAGTCACCTCTGCATGCTCCCAGATGGCACAGGTCAACATTGCCATGGGCCACGCGAAGCCATTCGCACCGGTGCAGAATGAGCATCGGCACTACAGAAATGGGGCTGGGGGCAGTGTCCGCTCCCTTCAGACTGACGTAGGTGCAAGACAGGGGTGAGTCAAGCCCCAGCTGGCACTAACTGGCCTCACCTCAGCAGAGAGAGGAGGGCCAGGAGGGCACTGTCAGCACCGACTGCCTTCGGTGCAGCATGGGCCTGTCGGTCCTTCCCAGCAAATCCACCCACTCGCTAGCACTGGAAGGTGCCAAGTGCCGCATGAGGCTGGAGCTCCTTGTGAGCGATGCCCTCGCCCGGCAGCACGTGTTTTCTACTGCAGCACAGCCCCAAAGCTCCTAACCGCCTCCTCTCCCTCCTGCCCCACCTGTTGCAGTGCCATAAAGAACATGACTGACAGCAGCGTGTACTTCAAGAGCATCGACGGGCTGCTCAAGCAGGCCATCGCCATGAAGGATCAGCTGAACGCAGCGCAGGGCCGCAGGTAGCGCAGGGCACCTGACCTCGAGTGCTGCTGACCGCCTGCCCGGGTCCCAGCAACATCTGTTCTGCCGGCCAGAGGCTTCTGCGACTTTCACACTGCCACATGCAAACGGGCTGAGCGGTTCTGGCAGTAACACAACCTCCTGCTAGTGTTTAATAGAACGAGTGACTCATGCAGCAGGGAAGCTGAGATTTGCTTTACTTGGCAAAGAAAACAGCCTGTTTACAAAGGGTTCACTGCAGCATAACACAGCCTCTTGGGATTAAAAACGGGGTTGTTTTGCTGGCTGGTAGCATTCCTTTGTGGACGTGTGCTGCATGATGTTGGCATCCTGTACTAACAGCCGGGGTTGCTGGGGCGAGGGGAAGAGAAGCAGGGTGAAGGGCTGGATTGGGGGCTTGTCACTTGGCGCTTGTGTGGCTGTCAGGGGTGGGGGGTTGATTGTGGCACTGGTTGGTGGAGCTGGAGGATTTGCTCTGATTGCAGCCTGAGCAAAGCTACTAAAGTGTCTGGCACTGGCTGGTCTGAGTCTGGCGTGTTCCCTCCCCCAGGGTCTCAACAGCACAGCCGGCTCCTGGCTGCCCTCGCCACCTCCCTGCTGGCTTTGAATGTCCCGCCCCTGCTTCAGAGCTGAGGCTGGCAGTGCCAGGCTCTGGGCAGGAGGATGGTTGTGGCTGTGGGCTCCCTTGCTTTGCCAGCAGCTGCCCCTCACCTAAACCCCAAGGAGTGTTTTCAGCTCTCATGTTTCATGGGGAACGTGGCCCTGGAGCTTGTGGTGCCCCCGTCCCTGGGGGCCTGGCTGGCTGACACACCTGCTAGCGAAGGGGTCAGGCCATAGCTCTATCTCCATGGGCTGCGCTTGACCTCCATCGCACCCACGCCCTGGTTTAGCAGCAGCGCTGGAAGAAGCCTGGTATGTTCTGTCCTTTCTCCAAGTGCTGACGTCCAAATCGCCTGGTGGGCTGTTTTCTTTCAGCTCTGCTGCCCCGCAAGCCACAAGTCCTCCTGCCAGCTCCTGACTGCAGACAAGCCGGGCCTTCCTCTGCCTGCAGCCCAGGTCGGTGCTCTCTGGAGCCACTGGTGAGACATCCCCACCTTCCGCAGAGCCTGCTGCTTGGTCAGCCTGCTCTTGCTCGGGAGCCTCTGGCCTGTGCCCGTTTCCAGGCTGAAAGCGCTGGGCATCAGTGCTGCAGCCTCGCCGGCTGTCCCTCCTTCAGTTGATGCAGTTGCTGAGACTTGTGTGCTGCAAAGGGAGAGCATGGTTTATTTTGCACTGGCCCTTCCCGGCTCCTCAGCGGTTACAGGCTGCCCTGCAGGGTATTTCTGGCTGGGTCTCAGCCTCCAAAATGCCTGAGCTCTCAGGTCTCGGGGTTCTGCTGGAAGATCGTCTGGTGCCCTGAGATGGGCACTGGGCAGCCCTCAGCCAAGGGGCAAGGATGCAGGGTCCTCTCAGAGGCAAACTGTGCAGGGGGGTGCTGGGAGCCTGGCAAGCGTTGGACAACAGCGAGAAGGGGCAAAGGTGGGGTGCTGAGGCCCTGATGAAAACTCCTTTCCCTGCAGTAGCCCCTCGCTGGTCACTCCAGGGCTCCAAAGGGCCGTCCAGACACCCCTGCTCCTGCCCCACTGTGGAGAGGGTTAGAGGCATTGCACGACGGAGCACTGGTGGCACCAGGTTGTGGCCTTGCAGAGCCAGCGCCCCGCCTGTGAGCGGGCAGCCTGTTGCCAAGCTGGCTAGCAGCAGCAAAGGCCCCGGTGGGAGAGGGCTGGGGCAGGAGCTGCCAGCCAGCGATAGGAGGCAGATAGAGCTGTCTGTGCCCCCACAAACCCCTCTGGGTGGGAGGAGGAGGCAGGGAGTGGAGCCAAGTCCCTTCTCATGGCAAGTCAGTTGATTCCCCACATCAGGTGGGTTTAGGGAGGCTGAGGATGGGCTGGGCTGGGACCAGCTTGGCATGAGCTCCAGGAGAGATGCCGGCCTGGGCGGTGGGGCGGGTGGCTGACCGGGGCCAAACGCTCCTGCTCTGGGCTCACACCAGGGTCGAATCCTTCCCTGCAGCCACCGGCTTGCGTGCCAGAACGTTCTTCATCTCCTGCGTGACCCCGTTCCAGGGCTTGCCCTGCACCTGCAGCAGCCCGGACTCCGCCGACAGCGTCCGGTGGGTCCTGGGCAGGCTGCAGCTCCCTTCGGGCAGGGCCCCAGGGCTCCCTGCCGAGCTGACGGCGCTGCTGGCTGGGGAGGGAAGG